TTTCCCCCCTTTGAGGCATGAATGCAACTAATAAAATAGCTCTGGTAACTTACCCGATCATTCAAAAGCTTATGGTTTAAGGGTGTCCAGGTACTCATCTTTGTTTGCATTTTGGGACCATCCGTGCTTTTTGGAGGTGCAAATGCCATCATGAAATAACTGGGTATTCTTCTATAAGAAAAACTAGACCTATCAGAAGAAATGAATCATATCTTCAGACTACTGAAAATACCAATACCATACAATCTTTTAGTATGTTGAGAGAAGGGATTGAAGGGAAGAACACTTGCTGGGAGCACTTTCTATGTATGCTCAATTAAAGTTCATAACAATCTGGTGAGGTGGTAGGTTTTAACTTATTACATAAAGAAATTGAAGCTCATTTAAGTTACATGCTCTGCCCAAAATTATACAGACTGGAACTGGAAATCAGACTCGTCTATTTAACTCTATTTTCATTGGACCACAGAGGGAAATCAAGGCTCACTCCTAGCTAAGAATATACGACATTGGCTTAGAAAGAAGAGGTATTTTAATTTATAAAATCACTAGAGGCCTGGTGCATGAAATTCGTGCACTGGAGGGGGGGGGGTCCCTCAGCCTGGCCTGCGCCCTCTCACAGTCCTGGTCCCATCGCTCCTTACCTCTCGGCTCTCGGCTCCTTAGCGCAGCTGTGGAGGTGGGAGAGGCTCCCACCACCACTGCTACCCACCACTGCTACGCTCGTCAGCCGTGAGCCCAGCTTCTGGCTGAGTGGTGTTCCCCCTGTGGGAGCGCACTGACCACGAGGGGCAGCTCCTGCATTGAGCATCTGCCCCCTGGTGGTCAGTGAGCATCATAGTGATTGATGGTTCCAGTTGTTCTGCTGTGACGGTCGCTTAGGTTTTTATTATATAGATAGTGCAATATGAAACACTCCTTCCTTGTCCTGTGTGATTGTCTTCCTCCCCTTTTAACTTTCTGACATCTAAATAACAAGGGTTCTACCTTGGTACCATATTTAAGAAGTCGAGTGATGTAATATACAACACTAACCATTTGGAGATGGACAGTTTTGAGTTTATTGAGGGAAATGTGCTGTTTTTCAATGCCCAGTATATATTTTCCTTCATTTGATGAAAGCACTATAATTTCCACGAGGAATTACCTTTCCCTCATTGTTTAGAGTTTGCTGGGTTGGTTAATCAAAGTGGCCTCCCCTTCCCTGGTTACAAGACGGAGCTAGGCCAGTTGAGATTGACGCTGGCTTATCCTTACTTTACAGCAGAGGTGGGCATTCAAAGTAGCACTGGTACTCTGCTAGGTTGTTCCTGCTGCCTCATCCCTCAGAAGCCTCTGGCCTTGTCCATTTCGTGAGCCACATGACATCCTTGCAATAAACTTCCTCTTTTGCTTACATTAGCTAGGATCTGTTTCTATTATTTACAACCAAAAATGTTTACCTCATATGGGTCTGATCCTGGTTCTACAACTTAGTAACTGTATAACTTTTTGCAAGTTATTTAATCTACCTGAGTTTCAGTTTCCTCAATTGTCAAATAAGACTGTATATATATGTCTACACCAGAGGTGTGGGCCTTTTTTTCTGCCAAGGGCCATTTGGATATTTATTTTATTTTTAAAAAATACATTTTAATTTATTTTTAAAGATACATTTTTATTTATTAGGGAGAGGGAGAGAGAGATAGAAACATCAATGATGAGAGAGAAACATTGATCAGCTGCCTCCTGCATGCTCCCTACCAGGCATGTTCCCTTGACGGGAATCGAACCTGGGACCCTTCAGTCTGTAGGCCAACACTCTATCCACTGAGCCAAACCAGGTAGGGCTGGATATTTATAATATCATTTGTGGGCCATACAAAATGATTGACTTAAAAATTAGCCTGCTATATTTGGTCAAACATTTAATGAACTCACCCCTAATGCCTTAGCAGGGCCAGACCAAATGATTTCACGGGCCTTATATGGCCCTTGGACTGGACATTCCCCACCCGTGATCTATATTCAACTGCCTCTGTGAATATTACAGAATAAGGATCCAGCAGACTGCCTGACAGATAGGTGGCCTCAATAAGTAGTGACATCCTTGCAGTCTTTCTTAGAACTTCCTATCATTCACAATCGTTCATAGAGTGCCTAAATACCTGTCCTTTAGAGGGCCGTGACAAAATATTTTAAGGTGGAAAACAGTTACAGCAGATTGATGCCAGTGTCAATGTATATCCTCCATGTTTCTGCCCTCCTTCCTCTCTGAAGGTGGGCTTCATGTTGAAAGGCAGTGGTGATGACTAAAGGAATCAGGGCTTGTCTGTCTGATCTATGGGTTCCAAAAATTCTTCTATAGCAGCAAATATTGGACAATTAAAGAACAACAACAATCATTCATTTTAGGCTTATATGGGGTTCCCCCAAATGCTAGATCTGAAATTTTTGAGGCTTTCACTAGACATGTAATACTATCTCTCAGGTTTAAGTTGTAGGTGTAGATAAAGCCAATGTTTTCAAACCTCAGTGGCGTCATTAGACAATACCTTCCTGCAGTTACCTGCTGCCATCATACCACTGGGACAAAGGGGGCTCAGATCAACCCTCACGTCCTTCTCAGCCCCCTAACAGCCAATTATCTAAGTCACACCTATTTGGCTAAGTTGCAAAAGGCATAAGAAATGACTTCATTGCTGTATTATTAATTGGCAGCTATAAAAGTACATGTGAGTAGGCAAATTACAGATACAAAGCATGGTCACCGAGTCTAGATCTGCCTAGTTAAAAACTACATATTTCTTTTTTGTCGTTGTTGCTATTTATCTACATTTGACCTTCCTTCTTATTAAACCAGGTGTCTTTAATTTTTCTTTGAGGGTCAAATAACTCTTTGAGAATGTGATGAAAGCGATGAATTTTCTCCCTAGAAAAATGCACATGAACATAAAATTTTGCTTACCCCAGGTTAAAAACTCCTGCTGTAAGCCAAGAAACTCTCTCTCTTCCCACTTTGTATAGGAAAAAAAGCTAGGCAAAAATTTTGAATTAGGACAAAGGAGCTTTTCTAGGACCTCCCCAAGGCCCCGCACTGATTGTTTTTTTTCCCCTGGTTCCTCAAAGCTAGAAATTATTTGAACAAGGCTTTCTTCAAATCAACCTGAGGGCAATTGGTATTCAGGAGGTGGGCCTGGCCAGAAGAAACAGCCCTCTTGGTAATACAGTCCTGCTGAAGCATGAAAATGGGGTGTCCTACCCTGTCTTTTGTCATCATTCCTTCACAATTTTCCTCCTCTCCTCATACCAGAAAATAGGCAGTGTGCATATCTGCATGCACATACATGTTCACGGTATAGACCACTCAGGGCTATTATAAAGACAGACGCTTTTAGATAACATACACAAAAATAATTGCCCCCACTCCAGCAACAAGACAAAGCAAGTTTTCCCCCCGCCTTCCACATCTAAAGCTCGCTGGTGCTATTTTTGTGACCTCTTTCCTCCTTCATGGCTGTTCCTGAATGTTTATTTTTAATTTTTCTTTGGAAAAAAAAAGGAAGAAAGAGGACCTTAGCCCCCAACGTATGGTTCTGTTTCCATGTTTAACAGCAAGGATGGATCCTCCTGTAGAGTTCCAGGGGCCACACATCTCTAATTCCATCTTCCAAGTCATTTTTCATACTGTCACCATTACTCAACTTTGCTTAGGACCTGTTAGGCCTGTATTAGAGGTACAAAGGTATGAGTTTCTACTTTAATGGAGCTTATAGTCCACTATTAGAGAGTTTCCTCTTTGACAAATAAAAATTATATATATTTGAAGTGTACAAGGTGATGTTTTGGTATATGTATACATTGTGAAATGAACACTCAAACTATTTAATTATTACCATGTTAATTTTCTCAGTATGAAGTAGGTGTGTGTGTGTGTGTGTGTGTTGCGAACACTTAAGATCTACTCTCTTAGTAAATTTCAAACATACATTATATTACCTATAGTCACCATGTTATACATTAGGTCTCCAGAACTTATTCATCTTATAACTGAAAGCTTGTACCCTTTGACCAACATCTCCCCATTTCCCCTACTCCCAAGCCCTTGGTAACTACCATTCTACTTTGTTACAAGTCTGACAATTTTAGATTCTACATATAAGTGAGAAACCTCATTACAAGTGCTGTGATTATTAAATATATTTCTTTGCATATTTGTTTCCAAGTGAATTACTCCAATTCCACCTCTCAGTCATAAACATGAGAGCTGAGTGTAGCATGGAGAAACACTGATATGAAAAATTCTGGAACAAGGAAGCTATGATTAATGCCATAGCTTAATTCATAACATTTGGATTCTCAGATAGTCTGTGGAGTAGAAGGAAGAGAATCATTTGGAAAGGCAGTTAGGAAAATGAAATGTCAATCTCTCTGAGCAAAGCAGTGCCATCATCCTTCAGAGTACTCCACCTCCCTGTATCTGCTCACAATTACAGTTAATCAGTTGAGAGGTGTGAACGTTTGAAGCTCAGCCCAGGAACCTGTGAAGCTTTCCTGAAGAGCTCTTTGTAAGACTTTTAATTCATAGTCAAATTTTAGAAGCCCAAAGAAATTATGTGGGCATTCAAATACTTCTAAAACTACTAGCAACTATTACAGAGGTGGTGGTAATCTCTTAAAATCCATAGGGCTTCTCTATTCCAAATATTGGGTATTCATAAGTGCACTCATTTTTTTTTGAAGCATTCACTATTTTGTTTGGTTTTGTTTCTTGGCCATCCATCCATATCACTATTTATTGAGGTATTAGGATAATACTGGACACATTGTATTAAATCTTCAACAACCTGAAAGATGCCTTTAATCAGCATCCGATCTAATAAAAGAGTAATATGCAAATAACGGAGCAAAATGCAATCCCCAGGAGCACTGACAAGGCTTGTGAGAGGCCCAGGCGGACCTGCGAGTGGCGCTCTGCAAAGAGAGTCTCCATCTTTTTCATGCACTACCCACTGCCTCACCTCTTTGAGCTGGACTCCCTCGTCAAGCCTCAAGCGCTGGTGTTGCCATAGCTGCTTTTTTCTTTGACTTTGCCCAGCCCCCACCCTCCAGCTTCCATTAGTCCAATCATCATCTATAAATCCTTTCGCTGGCATCCGGGGTCTCTTAGGCAACAATGTGTGGTCTCTTGATTGGCCAGGAGATCCAGGAGGGCTGGCTCCAAAATTAGGCACACGGATATAACGAAAAAGTGAGAGTGCCAAGAAGGTGGGAGGGGGTGCCATCTCCCAATATAATGCAGAGAAAGATAGATGCAGCCAATTCCGGAAACAAGCAGCATCGAAAGCTCCCATTCAAGACACATTTGTTTCCCAAATCAGGCCAGCCTCCTGAACGTGCCCAATTATATTGCTCTGGTCACTCCGAGCCTCCGAAATATAAACTCCGTTTTTCCGGGTTTTAAGAGTGGCCAACAGGTAAAAGAGGGTTGGAAGAAAAAGAATTCCCGACTGGCTCAATACAGAATGGCACCTACGACAGGAAGTGGAAGGACGTGGGAAAATTGCCTAACACACAAACTCACAAATGCTTCAACAGGAATGTTAATTGATCGGATTATTAAAGGAATTCAGGCTGACTGACAGATACGTCCCGGAACCAGCAGATGGCATGCCTTAATCAGAATAATTCCAAACGTGGGAAATTTTACAGTTCGGTCTAATTTAATTAAATGTTTTGAGCACCCACCATGTAATCAGGGGCAGAGCGAGAATGCAAGGATAAAAAAAGAATCTAATGAGGAAGACTGGAAAATACGAAGGGCAAATAATGCGAGGCCCCCAGTGATAACTGCTGTGATAGAACTACCAGTATAAAGTGCTGGAGAATCACCCAAAATTCAAAATTTCTGGACGGAGCTCCTTAGAAAATGTAAAGGAATTCTTATGCACAGCAGCTAACAAAAAAACAACAACACAAAAACATCTCCCCCGCAAAGCAAAAAAGACTTTCCTCACTAAAATAGATAAGAATACACTCTCCTCCAACGTAAACAAATGTAAACCCTATGTTTGCATTGTGTTTCACAGTTTTAAAATAGGCAGTATTTGTATATCTCCAATTTAAACAGAAACCAAAACACGAAGCTCATGAAGATGGATTTCCTAAGGACCTGTAAGTGGCCAAACTGAAATTAGAACCTAGGTTGTCTGAATTCCAGACTAGTGGTTTTTTAAAGCTCATAAACATGGATTTGCTTGAGTTAACTAAGAACCTGTAAGTGGCCAAACTGAAATTGGAACCTAGGTTGTCTGAATTCCAGACTAGTGGTTTTTTTCACATGACCAGGTTGTATGTATATGAATAAACAAAGCCTTAGGTGGTGGAGGGTGGCCCAGGGAGGTATGTAAATGCAGCACTAAATTACCAGTTAACATTTATGGTTTCAAAACGAGTTCATCCAGAAAGAGGCCAGTTTTAACAACATACTGTGAGAGAGCTGTCTCTCTGTGAAGTGCCCGCTCATTAAAGCCTCTCTATTGGTGGTTACAACATGGAATGAAAGAGAGATGGGATAAAAGAGAGCATCGCACTTTATCCCTGTTGGATTTTAAGATTTTTATCCCTGAAAATAAGGTTCCTTTAGTCTATCCTCTTAACTAGTACCCTCTGAGCCTCCCCTTCTCCAGCATCTCTTCAGTCTAACTGCTAATCCCCTCTCCCCTCCCTACCGCCTGACACCATTCACCCTGTCCTCATAGTAAGCACACCAGCTCAATGTCCACAATACTTTAATATTACTCTTAAATGAAATATTTCAAACATAAAGCTTAGAGAATTGCATAAGAAAAACCCTTGTAGTCCCACCAAGATTTAAAAAAAAATATATTAACATTTTTGTTTCCTGTGTGTGATTAATAGTTGAAACCTTTTTTGTACACTTTCCAGATCTCATTTCCCTCCTGGCTTGCCCTAGAGGGCAACACTGAGAAATTGGTGTGTAACCTACTTGTCCATTTTTTAATACTATGTACATACATATATGTCCTCATAAACAATATGGCTAGGTGTAATATAAACAGGTAAAATAATTTACATAACTTGTAATTTGCTTGTTTCACTGTTACATTTCTGAGATTTAGTCATGTTGATAAATTCAGTGATAATTTCTACATCTTTTCTACCTCCCCTTGTGAACTATATGATATGTCCTACCCCTGACAGTTTTCAAAGGACACTGTGTAAATTGCATAGAAATTCATATAGCTGCACATCTCCACAGGCTCTGCAAATACAAGGAATCTTGAAATATAGGGTGTCCCCAAAAATATATACGCACACTTTGAATAATAATAAATGCAGTGTTTTATTAGAAAACACTTCATTTTCAAAATTTAGCTATCAGCTGTTAAAGTGTGTACACATTTTGGGGGCATACCCTGTATATAAAGCAGGCACACACCGTTTTTCACATATGATATTTGCCTCCTAATGATCCTCAGTAAAGGCAGTGTTGGCTCCACAAGACACATTGGCTTGCTTATAAGCAGCCTAAGGATCAACATTATTTTTTTTTAATGGTACTGCACAAGAATGTGCTTATTAGGAAAATTGAAAATGTCATTTATATCTCATTTATTATGCTTTTCCCCAAAACTCACGTTTTTAGGTTTTTTTGTTTGTTTCTTAATCCTCACCAGAGGATATTTTCCCATTGATTTTTAGAGGGAGTGGAAGGGAGGGGAGAGACACAGAGAGAGAGAAACATCACTGGCCCTGCAGGGCCGGGATTGAGATTGAGCCTGCAACCAAGGTGTGTGCCCTTGACCTGAATCCATCCCGGGACCTTCAGTCCGCAGGCCAACGCTCTGTCCACTGAGCCAAACCGGTTAGAGTCCATAGCTCATCTTTTGATGTTAAACTATACTTATGGCTGTCTAAGCTTAGTAGTCAATATTTATTTAACATTTATTGAGTTGTGGTAAAATATACATAACATACAATTTACCATTTTAACTATTTTTAAGTGTGCACTTGGGTAGTGTTCGGGACATTCGCATTCCTGTGTTACCAACAGAACAAAATGATGCCTCTGAAGTCAGGTTGCAAGGGACGAAAAGGAAGAGCAAGAACGGTGGGTACAAGAACAGCTTTAGCCTTGAATGAACGTAGACCGTCGCGAAGACGCTGCATGGCTTTGGGCGAGTCACTTAATCTTCCTGGGCGTTTTTCCTCGTCTGAAAAACGAGGTTGGGTTTAGATGATCTCTAAGGGCATGTTTAGCCCTAAAATTGTTTATGTAGAAAAAGAGGGGGGAAACATTTTCTAAGGAGCAAAAAGGTGGGGGATGCGGTCAATACCCACAATCTGCACCTGTTCCCGAAGGTCTGGGCAGAGGCTCTGTACCGTGCCAGGTGCCCTGCCCGCTGCTGTCGGCGTGGAGCTCTGCACCATGCCCGTTACCGACCTCTCCCTGCGCGCAGTGCCACCCGGAGCACGGGGACCTGCCTCTCGACCACCTCCAATGCCCGGCTCCCACGCTCCCACTTTCGTTCTCAGAGCAGGTTTTGGCGATCTTGCCATACCAGCATCACAGGCTGGGGTGTGATGAGAGTCCCCGCGCCGCCTCAGCCGGAGAGGGGAGGAGAGCTTTGCAAAGAGGGCTGAGCGCAATTAACACCGACGCTTGCAGAGCCGTGAACGACTCCGCGGGCCTAGCCCGGCGCGAGGCAACACCCAGGGCGCGGGGCGGAGAACAACCCAACGCGCGCAGTCG